GTTTTTGTCAGACTTTCTGGAACGAATTAATGACGAAAACTGAGGTTCCACTGTAGTTGCCCAAGTGTGGAGACGTATATATTGGAGACAGTTCATAATAATAATAATAATATTTTATTTCAGCATGATACATGCTTGTACAAAGAAATGTAATAGTTGGGTATACATGCCAAAAGGCCCTTTGTATGCAAGGCATTTCAGGCAAACTTAAAACTAACTTAAGATTAATAAGGCAATAACAGTACGTATGATCATCAGGCGAGTTACAATGAATACAAGAGAATTGAATATTCTATTAGGTTGTGCTATATGGCTTTAATAAGTTTTGTAGAGAAGAATTGCAATTTTGTCTATTAACCTTAGATGGACACAATGGAGTGATTGACATTTGAGATTAATAACATTTGAGGAGAAGCAGGCTGGAGACAGCACCACAGGTATTAGTAGAAGTAGTTCATAAATAACAAAAAAAGGCACAATACCGTGACTGGAATGATACACAAATAACCCTCACGTAGTTCATGCCAGTGGGTTAGAAAGGCATTGTAGAATAATGCTCTGCAGACTACCAGTAACACAATTGTAATCAACTCGGGAAATAGACAGGATTCAGACCCATGGCATGCTAGTCCTAAAATTAAAAAAAACAGTACTCTAACCACTACAGTATTTATTAATGTTTTAATTTATACATATATTATTCTACACGAATACGTAAAAAAATGATAGACACAAGCAGCAACTGGAAATAACCAGACAGCATTTTGTCTGCATAGCATGCTTTTTCATTAGAATTATGTTCAGGGAAAATGTTATCTAAATAGTTTGCAATTGCTGCTTTTGTCTATCTGCCATTTACAGTTCTTCAGTATTCCCACACCATACATGTATATGGTTAGCTCTAGGAGCTAGTCAGTTATTGCAAGTCACATCCTAGGGAAGGACCCTGACAGTTTTCTTTGGCTCCTTTGGTTTATTAGCCCTCCTTGGTTAATCCAAATAAAGTTGTCTGTATTCCATGAATGCTTGAAAAGTGACCTATAACTACGTAAGAGGCCCAGGAAAATACAGGGCTTCTTTATTAAAAAGCCAGTCGTTAGAGTAGGTGGCTTTGCAACATTGTAATAAAGTGCTTCTAAATGTTGATGAATCAGAATGTTAAATGTGTAGTCACAGTACTAGAAACAAGTATCTCTTTGATATATCACATGCTCAACTCAACCTATTTAGGAGCTTCATGCAAATAAAGAACCCTAAAATCAGAAACTCCCTACCAAAATATTCCTATCTGCCATCTGCTTCAAAACTGTTTTTTAAAAGCATCTTAATTCAGTGTAAATTCTTCTGTGGTTCACTTCATCTTTCATAGACCCATCTGCTGACATGTCTGCTCCCGAATATCTAAATACAGTGGTACCTCGAATTTTCGCCATAATTCGTTCCAGAAGGCTGTTCGAGTGCCGATACCAAACGAATTTGTTCCTGAAAGGAATAATGTAAATTAGATTAGTCTGTTTCAGACCCCCCAAAAATACACTTAAAAAAGGACTTGCAAAAATACACTTACATAATTGTTCAAGTTGGGAGCTGTTCAAAACTTGACGTACCACTATATTTATAAATAAGAAATGCATGTATTGTATAAAAACATAATAAAACATAATAGAGAATGTAAAGAAATAAACTCTTTTTATAAAGTGTACGTATTTACATTGGAGAACAGATGCTGGCAGAGGTGGAGGGTGGAAAAGATAGACAGAAAGGCTTATGCTGCCAGTGGCCCTATAAACCCCCAACAACACAGATGGGCAGAGGAGATTGGAAGAGTTAGTTTCATTTCATGCTTTTTCTATCACTTAATTGGTTAACTTACTTGCTACACTCTTAATGCTACATTTTATTGCTGAACTTAATTGCTACAATTTTTTTTTTTATTTTTTCCACTTCACTTTTCACTGATTTTTTCCTTTTTCTCCACGCTTTCCTCACTTTCATCATAGAAGTAGTACTATGCTGGTACTGCCTTGCCAACTCCACTACCCACACACCTCGCTCGTATTTTTCTATGATTTCATGCTTTAATTCAATGGACATCATCCTCTTCTTCTCAGCACTGTCCTTTGCATTTACTTTCTTCGGACCCATGGTTAGAAAAAAGAAATTTCAATCAATCAATCAAGTTTATTCTCTATAAAGATTACAATGTGGGGTTTACATATTTTGGATATTGTGTGGTTTACCTGTTATAAAATACTAATTACAGAGGGGGCCACTATGACACCTAGCATGGCTAGGCATTTTGGGCAGACTTAGATTAATTCTTAACTCTAAATTATTACAGATTATGGAGTAAGTTGGTATTAAGGCTAAGTGACTACATTATAGTTTGTGAATTTAGCAATGTGAATGCTTTTGTTTTGGTACAATACATAGTTTCTATATTGGAGTATCACAGGCAAACTTATGACTAGTTAGGATTGGGTAAAATAACTGCACAAAATGCAAGCACAACACAAGAGAGATGCTGCTTCCACAGTGAGGTAAACACATGCACTAGTGGTGGCATATCTGAAGGTCACTCGTAACTCAGAGCAAAAAATCAACCGAGCGACGGCTCATAACTCAGGAAACTCATATGTTGGGGCACTTGTAAGTCATGGTACCACTGTAGCAACCAGATCAAATAAGCATCTATACTTGACAAATGTCACTACTATACTGTATTTCTATATATGTTATAACCAAGATTTCACTCAGTTCATTGTTATCTTTTACTGAAAAATCTATTTAACCCTTTGAGGGTCGAGACCCCCTATCCATAACTCACTCCCAGGGTCAAAAAGTTTTCAAAAAAAAAAAAAAGATTTCTTATGAAATTATAATCTTTTCCTGATGGTAATGACACCAAAAGTACGAAATTTTATGGAAAACTTACAAAATTACACTCTCACAAAGTTAGTGATATTGGCGATATTTACACATCGGTGATTTCACCCAATTTGGGCCTTATTTTTGGCCAGTTCTATTGTTCCAGTCGACTAAAATCGTAGCTATTTTGCAAGAACTCCATTTGTTCTATCGATTGAGTACAAGAAACTGCCCATTTACTGATTTCAACTACCCAATAAAGTGGTCAGAAATTGGCAATTTAGCCAATTTCAACCAAATTTCAGAAGGTGCCAATTTCAAAATAGGGTCCAGAATAAACAAGACAGACATTCCTGGCACTAAAATAACATTTTCTCAGTTCATTAGTCACGTCTTCCATTTTGAATTTTTATTCTCACAAAAAATAGAAGATTTACTGTTAATGCAAACTACTGCATTATTGTAAAAATGATTTAAATAATATCATTGCACTTATGAAAGAATATTAGACTCAACAGTTGAGGTGTGTTGGATGTGTGGTGTGATTTGTTTACTGTACTCTCGAACATCGGCAAAAATCGAACATTTCCGCTACTTTGAGCTCAATTTCGAGGTACACCTACCACCCGACTTACGACCGAGTTCGGTTCCGAGAAACCGGTCGTAAGTCGAAATGGACGTAAGTCGAACTTTACTACTGAATATCAACATAACATATTTGTAATGACTTTATTTTATTGTTTTATTTTGGTATTTCATGTTTTACTTTACTTTTTATGCTGTTAGTACTGTATTTTATTATACTGTAAGGTTTAGGATAAACACTGTGTACAACACAAACACTTGTTTATTTCCCAGAAATTTGGCATTAAAAAAACACGGTCGTAAGTCGAATCGTCGTATGTCGAGCAGGTTGAAAGTCGGATGGCAGGTGTACTTTTCATAGTGAAACCAATCAAAATCATCTCTATTTCTGTAATATATCTTCCATTCTGTCAAATGAGACCAAGAAAACAAGAATACAACCATAAATACCATGTGAAATACACTGCAAAGTCGCTGTTTTAAACCAAAAACGTGGTCAGATTTTTTTTTCTCATGCACTTCGTGCTGCAGGATTTTTTTTTTATACTGCACACACTGATCATGCAGACCCATTCTTTCATATGTAGGCCTGCCAGCTTTCTTCCACCAGATTTGAAGGTGCTAGAATTTTGGCATATAAATATGGGACCAACACTGGCTATCAAGTCATACATATATGGGACTGACCCTGAAAGGGTTAATGTAGCAGTCTAATGATCGATGCAGTTAAACATTGTCTTGTAGTTTTAAAGCTGCTCAAAATGCTCTTCATAAAATTTCACCTACTATAACATTTGTATACTGTATTTATAGGAAATAAACATTTTCATTTCATGTACTATAAAAAATTTTAGTACCAGGTATATTAGTGTATCATTAGCCTAACCTAAGTATTATATTGAACCTTTCAATAGCAGCTTTTCTGTTCTCAGCCTTATGAAAAATTCTAGCTTCCTGTATGCATACTGATATAGATCCTGAACCCAATATGTTATCATGTGTGCTTTGTGTACCAACCATCACCCAGTTAAGCAAACCTTCTTAATTAGCCAGGCTGTAGTGGCTACATTAGCCACCAACAGCCTGACTGTTTGGCCACCAACCAGGAGTCCTAGTCAGGGACTGGGCAACAGTGGCAATGACCCCTGAAATCTTCAATAGGTACTGTAACCAACAGGTGGTATACTGCAAACCATCAAGGTAGGATGGGTAATGGATGAAAAAAGGAAATTTCAATCTTCAACCATTCAGTCCCTCTTGCCAGAATTGTGCTGACATGACAGTTCAGATGACCTTCTGAACTGCAACATTCTCACGCTTCCTTCAGAGTGCAAGTAGTGTACTTCCCGCCTCCAAAACTAAAGCCCAGTAACCTTGGATAGATTTCAAGAATATGCCTTCTACCACAGTCCAGCACTAGGCCAGGCAAACCAGTTTCACTGAATTCCTTCACAAATGTTACTGTGTTCATACTCAAACATGTCAAGCCATTAAAACCACTTGTTTCTGTGTTTTTTATATATATATATATATATTTTTTTTTTCAGGCCCTGGTGCAAACATGAGCTACCTGCCTCCTTGGGCACCAACTTCAGGAGGGGGTCACTATCCTCCTCACATGCTCTCTCCACATGCCAACTCTCCACATTCTCCACAGACTTCACATAGTACAACTCAGCCAAACAGCTCTGGATCAGTTTATCAGAATCTCTCTCCAGTTGTAAAAAGTGTTGCTCCTGCATGTGTTTCTGTGACGCAATCCAACAATGCACCCAAGTCGTCTACAGTCCCCTCCAGTGGTTCTGCATCATCTCCGACATCAGCACCGCCTTCTGTTCCACCATCTGCATCATCACTTTCTATTGGTGATCATTACGAGCCCCAGGGCTTTCAGAGGCCAAATACACCTCCATTGAAACGCCCTGACTTAATAGAAAATCTTAAAACTGAAAATACTATGAGTGATCATCCACCTTCTGAAATGTTACTTGCTCTAGCGGGCCCCAGCTCTCTGGACCTCAAATCACCTAGAAAGTATGTTAGAAGGTATGGCTTTGTTTTGTATACAGATCAGATTATTGATATATGTTTATAAATCTAATACTACCATATTACTGTAGCTCAACTATTTACTAGACTTTTATGATAATAGAGCCATCATGAATAGACATTTTAAATATTGTAATATTTGACATTCATAGACATAATACAATATGTTGAGCAGTAAAACAAAATACAGTGGACCCCCGCCATTCGGCGGTCGTGACTTTTGTGAAATCCGACTTTCGGCAAGTTTTTTCGGCAAAATTTAGCTTCGTAGTTCGTGATTGGACTTGTGATTCGGTGACCTTCTGGTACGCGTCTGCCTGTCAACGCGCACACAAAGCCAGTCTCTTTCACTATTCACACTCAGTGTGCCATTGTTTACCAGCATGTGACCATCACCCCTCGGGTTCATACAACACATTTCATAATACAATTCATTGTTTTTGTGCTTACAACTGCTAAATAAGCAACCATGGGCCCAAAGAAAGCTCCTAGTGCCAGCCCTTTGGTAAAGAAGGTGAGAAACACGATAGGATTCAAGAAAAAACTCATAGCAAAGTACTAAAGTTGAGGAGGGAGAGAGAGGGGAGAGTGTGCCTTCTGCAGTGATTGTGCAATATGTATGATACTAAAGCAGCAGGTATCGATAAAGGCTATTGCTCCAGCCAGCGATAAAGTGTAGAATTAATAGTGTAGCAAGTAAGTTAAGCGAGTAAGCGATAGAAAAAGAACATGAGAGTAACTCTCCAATGTTGTTGGATATGTATAGGACCGCTGAACATCCACTGCCCTGCTATCTTCCACCACCCTAAACCTCTGCCAACATCTCCTTCATCAAACTAACTAATTAAACTAACATCTCCAAGGTAAGTGTAAATATAAAAGTGTAAGTATAAAAGTAAATACACCTACCATCCGACTTACGACCGAGTTCGGTTCCGAGAAACTGGTCGTAAGTCGAACTTTACTACTGAATATCAACAAAACATTTTTGTAATGACTTTATTTTATTGTTTTATTTTGGTATTTCATGTTTTACTTTACTTTTTATGTTGTTAGTACTGTATTTTATACTGTAAGGTTTAGGATAAACACTGTTTACAACACAAATAGTTGTTTATTTCCCAGAAATTTGGCATAAAAAACACGGTCATAAGTCGAGTGGTCATAAGTCGAGCAGGTCGTAAGTCGGATGGTAGGTGTATAAGTGTAAATATAAGAGGACACAAATGGAAATATGTCACTCTTGAATTTTTTGGGTTATCCTGGGTACTTTACACATATGCTGCTATGTATGATAATCTATGTATGCAACTGTATTTGTGTATACCTGAATAAACTTACTTATTTATAAATTAAAATGTAAATATTTCTTATTTATAAATTACATACATTGTTTAAGTGTGATGGTGGTGGTGGCCAAAGCCTCTACCGCCACCAACACGGCTTCTCTCAGTGGCTGCCCTTAAACCCAACAACAACACTTACACCATTTACTCCTCTCATACATTATGACGTATTTTATTCATTCTAGAGTATATATCATGTTTCTATCGATTAATATTGTTTATAATGTCATATTAGATGAATTGTGATAGATAAATAAGCTGTAGGGCTAAGTGTGATGTTAAATGTTCATTTATCCATTTTATTAGTGCTTTATATTTATTTGTCATTGTTTTCTGTATGTAAATCTATATTTAATCTTTAAAAAAAATATTTTTTGTTAATACTTTTTGCTGTCTGAAACGGATTAATTGGGTTTCCATTATTTCTTATGGGGAAAATAGATTTGCCAATCGTGAATTTCGCCAGTCAGCAGACTCTGGAACGGATTAATCATGAAACTCTGGGGTCCACTGTATACAAAAAAATTAGGGTTAAGATATTACTTTTCGAGTATGGTGTATTTCCAGATCGCCAGGAAAGTATCCAACACCAGAGCAACTACCTAGCCCAGTTATGTTTTCGTACCAAGGCAGAGGAAGACCACGTAAAAATTGGACTCACGCGACGGTAAGAAATTGTGAATCTTTTTATAGTTTCATGGATGTTAGTTTTCTTTTTTAATTTAACATCAGCCATCTCACCAAGAAAGGGTAACCCCCCAAAAAAAAAAATTCACCATCATTCACTCACAGTCTTGCCAGAAGTGTGCTGCCAGCAGCAACAGCCTGGTTGACCAGGCAAGCAGCAGACAAGCCTGGAACAGGGCTGGGCTCTGGGAGTAGAAAAACTCAAAATTCACCATAGGAAAAGGACTGTTCACACTGCAACATCCCCACCTCTACTTCAGAGTAAAGGCACCATACTTCTCTACCCCATAAGTTGAAGTCCATCTAACCTCTTTCCATGAATTATATCATAAATGTTACTTTGCTCAAACCAACAGCACTTCAAATCATAATCACTTGCCTCCACTCACTCCTATCCTATCTAACACTCATACAAGCCTGTTGGATGTTCAAACCCCTAACATTCAGAATCCACACCCCTTCCCTCCAGCCCTTCCTGAGATGACCCCTTACTCCCCCCCCCCCCCCCACACACACACACCAAATTTATATGCCCTACTAGTCATCCTATTTTGCTTCATCCCTTCTAAATGTCCAAATCACCACCTTTACAGTCCCTCCTCTGCCCTTGGAATAATACTTTTGGTAACCTCACACCTGATCTCCAAGTTTTAAATTCTTTGCATGATATTCACACCACATATTACCCTCAAACATGACATCTCCACTGCATCCAACCTCTTCCTTGCTGCAACATTTAAAATCCAAGTATAAATATGTATGAATGTGTATGTAAGTGTGTGTGCATGTATGCATGCATGGGTGTGTGTATATACATATTGAGAAAACCTAGGGAATGAATGTATTTGACAGTTTAAAACAGAATAGGGGAGTTAGTAGATGGGGAGTTGGAGGTATTGTGAAGATGGTGGGAATATTCTGAGGAACTGTTAGATATTGATGGAGAGGCAGGCAGTGATTTCATTTATTGGCCAGGGAGGTATAACATTTCTTAGGAGTGAAGAGTTCAGAAGCTGCATGAATGATGCAGTGGGTAAAATGAAAGGGGGTAAAGCAGCAGGGATTGATGGGATCATAACAGAAAAGTTAAAATCAGGTGGGGATATAGTTTTGGAATAGTTCAGTAAGTGTATGAAAGAGGGAAAGGTAGCTAGGGACTGGCAGAGAGCATGTATAGTTCCTTTGTATAAAGGGAAGGGGGACACAATAGTGTAAAAATTATAGGGAAATAAGAATACTGAGTATACAAGGTAAAGTGTATGGTACAGTTAGTATTGAGAGAATCAAGGGTAAGACTGAGAACAGAATCACAGATAAACAAGGAGACTTTAGAAAGGGTTGGGGATGTGTGAACGAAGTGTTTACATTGAAGCATTTAAGTATGTAATCAATGTTTAGATGAAGATAGGGAAGTTTTTGTTGCTTTCATGTATATAGAAAAGGCATATGATAGGGGAAACAGCAAAGCAATGTGGCAGATATTGCAAGTGTTGAAGACAGGCTCAGGTTATGCTATGTAAGAGAGAGGGAGATTGCTGTCTAGTAAAAGTAGGCCTTAACCCTTTGACTGTCGCAAGCCCCTTTCTGAAACTGTCATTCTATGTTGCAAAATTTTTGGGAAAAAAATTATTTTTTCTTATGAAATGATAGAGAATCTTTTCCCGATGGTAATGACACCAAAAGTACGAAATTTGGTCAAAAACTCCTGGTATTACGCTCCCACAAAGCGGTCTCGGCGACATATACGCATCGGCGATTTCGCCAACTTTGAGCCCTGTATTTGGCAAATTACGTTGTTCCAGTTGACCAGACTCATAGCTATTTCTTTAGAACTCCATTTTTTCTATCAGTTGAGTACAATTATTATTATAATAAAAAAGAAGCGCTAAGCCACAAGGGCTATACAGCAGTTGAGTACAAGAAACTGCCCATTTACCTATTTGAACTACCCAATAAAGTGGTCAGAAATTGGCAATTTGGCCAATTTCACACAAATTAAAAAAGATGCCATTTTCAAAATAGGGTCCAGAATAAACAATGTAGACATTCTTGGCACTAAAATAACATATCCTCTGTTCATTAGTCACGTCTCTAGGCCCCTCTTATATTACTATTGCTTTCTATTTTGATTTTTTATTCATACAAAAAATAAAAAGAGTGCAACAATTATAGGGGGATAAGTCTGTTGAGTGTACCTGGTAAAGTGTATGGTAGAGTTATAATTGAAAGAATTAAGAGTAAGACGGAGAATAGGATAGCAGATGAACAAGGAGGCTTTAGGAAAGGTAGGGGGTGTGTGGACCAGGTGTTTACAGTGAAACATATAAGTGAACAGTATTTAGATAAGGCTAAAGAGGTCTTTGTGGCATTTATGGATTTGGAAAAGGCGTATGACAGGGTGGATAGGGGGGCAATGTGGCAGATGTTGCAAGTGTATGGTGTAGGAGGTAGGTTACTGAAAGCAGTGAAGAGTTTTTACGAGGACAGTGAGGCTCAAGTTAGAGTATGTAGGAAAGAGGGAAATTTTTTCCCAGTAAAAGTAGGCCTTAGACAAGGATGTGTGATGTCACCGTGGTTGTTTAATATATTTATAGATGGGGTTGTAAGAGAAGTAAATGCGAGGGTCTTGGCAAGAGGCGTGGAGCTAAAAGATAAAGAATCACACACAAAGTGGGAGTTGTCACAGCTGCTCTTTGCTGATGACACTGTGTTCTTGGGTGATTCTGAAGAGAAGCTGCAGAGATTGGTGGATGAATTTGGTAGGGTGTGCAAAAGAAGAAAATTAAAGGTGAATACAGGAAAGAGTAAGGTTATGAGGATAACAAAAACATTAGGTGATGAAAGATTGAATATCAGATTGGAGGGAGAGAGTATGGAGGAGGTGAACGTATTCAGATATTTGGGAGTGGACGTGTCAGCGGATGGGTCTATGAAAGATGAGGTGAATCATAGAATTGATGAGGGAAAAAGAGTGAGTGGTGCACTTAGGAGTCTGTGGAGACAAAGAACTTTGTCCTTGGAGGCAAAGAGGGGAATGTATGAGAGTATAGTTTTACCAACGCTCTTATATGGGTGTGAAGCGTGGGTGATGAATGTTGCAGCGAGGAGAAGGCTGGAGGCAGTGGAGATGTCATGTCTGAGGGCAATGTGTGGTGTGAATATAATGCAGAGAATTCGTAGTTTAGAAGTTAGGAGGAGGTGCGGGATTACCAAAACTGTTGTCCAGAGGGCTGAGGAAGGGTTGTTGAGGTGGTTCGGACATGTAGAGAGAATGGAGCGAAACAGAATGACTTCAAGAGTGTATCAGTCTGTAGTGGAAGGAAGGCGGGGTAGGGGTCGGCCTAGGAAGGGTTGAGGGAGGGGGTAAAGGAGGTTTTGTGTGCGAGGGGCTTGGACTTCCAGCAGGCATGCGTGAGCGTGTTTGATAGGAGTGAATGGAGACAAATGGTTTTTAATACTTGACGTGTTGTTGGAGTGTGAGCAAAGTAACATTTATGAAGGGATTCAGGGAAACCGGCAGGCCGGACTTGAGTCCTGGAGATGGGAAGTACAGTGCCTGCACTCTGAAGGAGGGGTGTTAATGTTGCAGTTTAAAAACTGTAGTGTAAAGCACCCTTCTGGCAAGACAGTGATGGAGTGAATGATGGTGAAAGTTTTTCTTTTTCGGGCCACCCTGCCTTGGTGGGAATCGGCCAGTGTGATAATAAAATAAAATAATAACAAAAAATACAAAATTTACTGTTATGCAGACTACTGCATTATTGTAAAAATGGTATAAATAATATCAGTGCACTAGTGAAAGAATATTAGACTCCCCAGTTGACATGTATTGGATGTGTGGTGTGATTTGCTTACTCCTGAACATTTTAATAAATCAAACATTTCCACTACTTTGAGCTCAATTTCAAGGTCGTTCTCATCATGAAACTAATCAAAATCATCTCTATTTCTGTAATATGTTTTCCATTTTATCACGTGAGACCATGAAAACGAGAATACAACGATAAATACTATACGAAAATACACCTCAAATTCGACATTTTTAATAAAAAAAATGGTCAGTTTTTTTCTCATTATGCACTGTGTGCTGCAGGATCTTTTTTTATGTGATGCACACTGACCACACAGACCCATTCTCTCACATGTGGGCCTACCAGCTTTCTCCTGCTTGATTTGAAGCCGCTAGAATTTACGCGAATAAATACGTCCGAAACAGTGGCGCATAAGGCATACATATACGACCAAAACAGCCAAAGGGTTAAACAGGGATGTGTGATGCCACTGTGGTTGTTCAATATATTTATAGATGGAGTTGTAAGGGAAGTGAATGCTCGGGTGTTGGCAAGAGGTGTAGGATTAAAAAGAGAGAATTTAACACAGAGTGGGAGTTGTCACAGTTGCTTTTTGCTGATGACACTGTGTTCTTGGGAGATTCTGAAGAGAAGTTGCAGAGGTTGGTGAGCGAGTTTGCAAGAGTATGGAGGAGAAGAAAATTAAAAGTAAACATAGGAAAGAGCAAGGTGATGAGGATAACAAAAAGATTAGATAGTGAAAGATTGGATATCAGACTGGATGAAGGGAGTATGGAGGAAGTGAATGTATTCAGGTATTTGGGAGTGGACTTGTTAGCAGATGGTTCTATGAAAGACGAGGTGAATCTTAGAATTGATGAGAGGAAAAAGGTGAGTGGTGCACTGAGGAGTCTGTGGAGACAAAGAACATTATCCATGGAAGCAAAGAGGGGAATGTATGAGAGTATAGTTTTACCAATGCTCTTATATGGGTGTGAAGCATGGGTGGTGAATGTTGCAGCAAGGAGAAGAAGCAGTGGAGATGTCGTGGCTGAGGGCAGTGTGTAGTGTGAATATTATGCAGAGAATCTGTAGTTTGAAAATTAGGAGGAGGTGCAGGGTTACTAAAAGTATTATCCAGAGGGCTGAGGAGGGGTTGTTGAGGTGGTTCGGACATTTAGAGAGGGTGGAATGAAGCAGAATGACTTGGAGAGTATATATAAATCTGTAGTGGAAAGAGGGTGGGGTAGGGGCTGGCCTGGAAAAGGTTGGAGGAAGGGGGTAAAGGAAGTTTTGTGTGCAAGGGGCTTGGTCTTCCATCATGCATGAGCATGTTAGATAAGGGTGAATGGAGACAAATGTTTTTGAGGACTTGATGTGCTGTTGGAGTGTGAGCAAGGTAACATTTATGAAAGGATTGAGGGAGACCTGACTTGAGGCCTGGATGTGGGAAGTACAATGCCTGCACTCTGAAGGAGGGGTGTTAGTGTTGCAGTTTTTTAACCGTAGTATAGGCACACCTCTGGCAAGACAGTGATGGAGTGAATGATGATGATTCTTTTTTTTCAGGTCACCCTGCTTGGTGGGAAACAGCCGATGTGTTAATAAAAAATAAATAAAAAAATATATTCATACATACACAAATATATAGTGTGAGTGTGTATGCATGTATACACTTAGTGGCCACTTTATTAGATACTCCCTTCTAGTATTAAGTAAAACTACTCTTTGTTGTCAGAACAGCCTGAATCAGGTAAGCTGTGGCATTTAAATGATGCTTTGTTGGTATTAGAGGGCCTAATCTGTGCCAGAAAAACATTCCTCACACCATTACACCACCACCTCCAGCCTGAACCATTGATATGAGGCTGGATGAATCCATGGATTCATGTTGCTTACACTAAATTCTGACCCTACCATCTACATGTCACAGAAGAAATCATGATTCGTCATACCAGGTAATGTTCCTTCAATCTTCATCTGTCCGGCTTTGTTGAGCCTGTGCCCCACTGTAGCCTCAGTTTCTTGTTCTTAGCTGGCAGAAGTCAAAGCCAGCATGGTCTTCTGCTAGTGTAGCCTATGCACTTCAAGGTTTGACATGCTGTGCATTCAGAGATGCTTTTCTACATATCACTGTTGTAAAGCATGGTTATTAGAATTACTGTTACCTTCCTGTTAGCTTGGACCAGATTGGCCATTCTCTTCTGATCTCTCATTAACAAGGCAATTTTGCCCCCAGAACTGCCACCCGCTGGATGTTTTGTTTTTTCACACCATTCTCTCTAAACTCTATAGACTTGTGCATGAAAATCCCAGATTGGCAGTTTCTGAGATAATCAAACCACCCTGTCTGTCACCATCAGTCATTCCACGGCCAAAATCACATTTCTTCCCCATTCTGATGTTTGGTCTGAACATCGTCTGAACCTGTTGACCATGTCTGCATACTTTTAGGCATTGAGGTGCTACCACATGATTGGCTGATTAGATATTTTCATTAACGAGTAAGTATACCTGTTAAAGTGGCCACTGAGAGAGTGAGAGAGAGCATGAGATTGAGTGAAAGAATGAGTGTGTGTGTGTGTTTGTGTTACATGTGTTTGTATGCATGCATCACATAAAGATCCATCCATCCTTGAATGATGTTAATATACATTTTTATTGCATCCTTTGAAATAATGTATTATCCTTTGTGCACACATGACTGTTCAAAGCTAATAAAAATTTTTCAGGGATTGCCAACAATGATTCCTGTTACTCATCCACCAATGCATTCAGGGTCTGCAGATGATCAAGATGATGAAGAAAATAAACCATTTAAGTGTAATATTTGTGGCAAGGGGTTCAAACTTAAAGGAGGTCTAATGCAACACGAAAGAACACACAGCACTGATCGGCCTTATGTTTGTCCAGATTGTGGCAAACTTTTCCGGCAACCAACTCACTTGCAGCAACACATTCGAATTCACACAGGAGACAAACCTTATGACTGTGCATTTTGTGACAAATCATTTAGACAGAGAACAATACTGAACCAGCATCTGAGGATTCATACTGGAGAGAAACCGTATGTTTGTATGGAGTGTGGAAAACAGTTTCGACAGAAAGCAATCCTTGATCAACATTTCAGAACACATTTGGGTGAGAAACCATATGCCTGTCCGCACCCATCGTGTAGAAAACATTTTAGAGAGATGGCATCCCTGATTTCTCACATGCAGTGCCATAAGGATGTGACTGATCCTAGAGCCGTTCTTCAGCAAGCTAAGAGGTTAATCAAAGAAGAACAAAATGATGATGTAAAATTAGAAAATCCAGTTCATGCACGAGAGCATGTGGAAGCGCCTGACAGGAGATTAGGGCAAGAAAGGGTACCTCAGGATAGAGAATTAGGGCCAGATAGAGTACTGGGACAAGAAGGAATGGAACAAAGCAGAATAGGTCAGGAGAGAGGGATGGGACAAGATGCAATAAGTCAGGATAGATCCCAAGGACATGACCATAGAGAAAATGTAAGCAGTAACTCAGAACAAGGTGGGTATCAGGGTAATGGGGAGCAAGTTCGGCACGATCACCGCCCGTTCCCTCCCCAAAGTGCGTCTAATAATAGTTCAGCTCATAAGTCGCCTCATTCTCTGCCACATTCAAATACAGACCAACAAAATGAAAATTCTTCAACCCCATCACATTCACAACCTCCTCCAATTTCTCCTAACATGATGCCAACCCCACAGATGGCTATGGCTAACTTAATTCCATACCCTCACTCAATTTTTCCAGCAGCATCTTATATGATGCCTCCACCTGATCCAAGACAATACCACCCACAAAATCAAGGACAGCATCCTTCACGGCCAAATCAATGACTTTTTAACAATGATTTTAAAACTTAAAGCCTCAGTCATGCAAGTTTGTTGTAATGAAAATTCTTTATTTCAGAAAATTCTAATTCCAGATTATGTTTGAAGACAAGGGCACAAGTTGCAAAACAAGTTATTATTAGGATAGTGTTTTGTTCTGTGTAGCTTATCAAGCTCTACACAGTAAAACATTGTCCCAATTAAAGCCTGTTCTGAATATTGTCTTTGTCTTCGTACTTACCAGCAATATGCCATCTCACTCAGATAATGTTACTGTAAAGTTAGAACTATGCAATTAACCTGGAAATTTATGGAGAAATTTTATCATGGAAACTTTTTGACCCAAAATTTATGAATACTACCCATAAACGGATGAGAATTACTAGTGTCTTAGTTACTCTGTATGTCTCTACTTGGAACTGAAATTAATGCTAAGTGAATACATCAGCAAGATCAGTCTGGACAATAAAATAACCGTGATGTGTCAATTTTAAAATGTAACAATGTTCCTGGTTAACTAGGTCAATGATTTAGGGAGATTGATCTGATGTTATATGAAAAATATTTTAAATCATATTGTTATTGTTTAACGGACAACTTTTGTTTTATTTAATATTTATTTGTGTATTGTATATATTTTTAAAAGATATTGTCACCTAGCACTAGCATTAATTTAATTTGTGTATTCTGTTAGGCTGCATTTAAATTAAGAGCAGAAGTTCCTAGGAATCAGCATCATTTGGAAACAGCATATTGAAATATGTAATATCAAGCATAGATTAACATCTAAGCATTAAATGAGTCATTAGTTAGGGGTGCTGTGTCTAGTTATTTAGATTTTAAGATTTTTTCCACCATGGTAGACTTTGTTGAGATTTAAAATTTTGTTAAAAAATAATTAAGTCGTGCATAAAATGTAATAAAAATATAGTGTATGTAGATTTACAGTCTTTCTTACATGACAGTAACAACAAAATATACAATGTATCTGCCAAATCTTTTACAAATCACATTTTTCACATGAGAAAAATGTTTGTATTAAAAGGAAATTGTTCACTTATGTGCCCGGTGCATAGGTTTGAACACAGAGAAAGTAACAGACTGCATGCTCACTCTGTATTTTGTATATGAATAATGGTCACAACATAAAGCAGTAGTAATAGTGGCATTGTAATAAAACTCAATGTTTAAATATTTTCAGTATCAAAGATTTGACTTAGGGATGTACAGTGGTTTATGAGTTACATTATGCAGTGTCTCTTTCTTTGTGTTTAACCCTTAATTTTATACATGTCATTGAAAGGGTATGGTTGCTTAAATGGGCATTAATATTGATGTATACTTTGTTTCAGTGAGCATGCCATGGCCAAGCAGATCTTTGTAGCATATTGCAATACAAAATGTCTTCTAGTTTTATAGATGCAACCATAGTCTGTTTCACAAGTTTTTTTTATAAATTTTTATATGACGAGTTTTAGTTATAAATGTTCAGTTGACCTTGACTATCAAAGATTCCAAATATTTAAATTTTATATTATATATCATTATGGAGATCATTTTCCATATGGTTAAATTATCAAACAACATAAACAAATTGTTGTCATATGTATTATTTTCAATTATCCATTACAGCAAGACAGGAAGCACGCTTTGAAATAGGAAATGAATGTTTTTCCATACTCGATTAACTAAATTTCTCAGGTCTTAAATGTAAAGTGCAATACTTTGATAAATTAAATATTTTGGGTTAACTTGTTTGAGTAAATGAGTGAGTTTATGGTGTAGAAAGAAATCAAATGGTGAATACTGTGGTTAAAAATACATGTATATTCTCAGTTTACCTGAAGCAAATACTTTTTTTAGGTATTGAAACATTGCTTATCCAATTCTGGTTGCCTGTAACACCTGATGCAGTGAGTAATTATGTGAGGTTGTGAGTAATTCACAAACTCATACAACACATTTTACAGTTACTTAATGCGAACTCATAAACAAATATTGTTAAATAAAGACACTTGGCTCCTGTCCAAATACATTTTAAATTTTTTAATACAAAATCATAAAGAGGTAATTAAAGATGAAATTATTCTGTCTGCCTTGCAGAGGTCCACAAATAATTTCTAAATAAAGATAACTCCCAAATGTCCTGCACATGCTCCTGTACTTCAAGATGACTGTAAAGAAACCCAGGGTAGCACTTAAATTTTAAGTAAAACTCCACAAAATACAAAGCATAATATCCCTCCTGGGACATTCCTTGAGGCTGGTGAGCAGCTTTTGATCCAAGTACAGTAATTGTATCTGCCCTTCCCTTGGATCGAACCTCAGTGCCCCCCATTCCTCCAGGCACTCTATGGCCCCTATGGGTTTAGTGCTATAATGGTAGACAGCAACCACCCAGGGAAGTACTACCGTCCTGCCAGATGACTGTGAAACAAAAACCTGTAATTGTTTTGCATGATGGTAGGATTGCTGGTTTCTTTTTCTGTCTCATAAACACGCTAAGATAACAGGGATATCTTGCTACTCCTACTAACACTTTGGTCACACTTCACAGACACGCACATGCATATATATATATACATACATCTAGGTTTTTCTCCTTTTTCTAAATAGCTCTTGTTCTTTTTTATTTCTTCTATTGTCCATGGGGAAGTGGAAAAGAATCTTTCCTCCGTAAGCCATGCGTGTCGTAGAGGCGACTAAAATGCCGGGAGCAATGGGCTAGTAACCCCTTCTCCTGTATACAATTACTAAAAAAGAGAAGAAGAAAAACTTTATAAAACTGGGTTCTTAAATGTGCGTGGATGTAGTGCGATGACAAGAAACAGATGATTGCTGATGTTATGAATGAAAAGAAGTTGGATGTCCGGCCTAAGCGAAACAAAGCTGAAGGGGGTAGGAGAGTTTCAGTGGGGGAAATAAATGGGATTAAATCTGGAGTATCTGAGAAGAGTTAGAGCAAAGGAAGGGGTAGCAGTAAATGTTAAATGATCAGTTATGGAAGGAGAAAGAGAATATGAATGTGTAAATTCAAGAATTATGTGGATTAAAGTAAAGGTTGATGCGAGAAGTGGGTCATAATAAGCGTGTATGCACCTGGAGAAGAGAGAATGCAGAGGAGAGAGAGAGATTTTGGAGATGTTAAGTGAATGTATAGGAGCCTTTGAACCAAGTGAGAGAGTAATTGTGGTGGGGACTTGAATGCTAAAGTAGGAGAAACTTTTAGAGAGGGTGTGGTAGGTAAGTTTGGGGTGCCAGGTGTAAATGATAATGGGAGCCCTTTGATTGAACTTTGTATAGAAAGGGGTTTAGTTATAGGTAATACATATTTTAAGAAAAAGAGGATAAATAAGTATACACGATATGATGTAGGGCGAAATGACAGTAGTTTGTTGGATTTTGTATTGGTAGATAAAAGACTGTTGAGTAGACTTCAGGATGTACATGTTTATAGAGGGGCCACAGATATATCAGATCACTTTCTAGTTGTAGCTACACTGAGAGTAAAAGGTAGATGGGATACAAGGAGAATAGAAGCATCAGGAAGAGAGAGGTGAAGGTTTATAAACTAAAAGAGGAGGCAGTTAGGGTAAGATATAAACAGCTATTGGAGGATAGATGGGCTAATGAGAGCATAGGCAATGGGGTCGAAGAGGTATGGGGTAGGTTTAAAAATGTAGTGTTAGAGTGTTCAGCAGAAGTTTGTGGTACAGGAAAGTGGGTGCAGGAGGGAAGAGGAGCGATTGGTGGAATGATGATGTAAAGAGAAGTAGTAAGGGAGAAAAAGTTAGCATATGAGAAGTTTTTACAAAGTAGAAGTGATGCAAGGAGGGAAGAGTATATGGAGAAAAAGAGAGAGGTTAAGAGAGTGGTGAAGCAATGTAAAAAGAGAGCAAATGAGAGAGTGGGTGAGATGTTATCAACAAATTTTGTTGAAAATAAGAAAAAAGTTTTGGAGTGAGATTAACAAGTTAAGAAAGCCTAGAGAACAAATGGATTTGTCAGTTAAAAATAGGAGAGGAGAGTTATTAAATGGAGAGTTAGAGGTATTGGGAAGATGGAAGGAATATTTTGAGGAATTGTTAAATGTTGATGAAGATAGGGAAGCTGTGATTTCGTGTATAGGGCAAGGAGGAATAACATCTTGTAGGAGTGAGGAAGAGCCAGTTGTGAGTGTGGGGGAAGTTCGTGAGGCAGTAGGTAAAATGAAAGGGGGTAAGCAGCCGGGATTGATGGGATAAAGATAGAAATGTTAAAAGCAGGTGGGGATATAGTTTTGGAGTGGTTGGTGCAATTGTTTAATAAATGTATGGAAGAGGGTAAGGTACCTAGGGATTGGCAGAGAGCATGCATAGTTCCTTTGTATAAAGGCAAAGGGATAAAAGAGAGTGCAAAAAATATAGGGGGATAAGTCTGTTGAGTGTACCTGGTAAAGTGTATGGTAGAGTTATAATGAAAGAATTAAGAGTAAGACGGAGAATAGGATAGCAGATGAACAAGGAGGCTTTAGGAAAGGTAGGGGGTGTGTGGACCAGGTGTTTACAGTGAAACATATAAGTGAACAGTATTTAGATAAGGCTAAAGAGGTCTTTGTGGCATTTATGGATTTGGAAAAGGCGTATGACAGGGTGGATAGGGGGGCAATGTGGCAGATGTTGCAAGTGTATGGTGTAGGAGGTAGGTTACTGAAAGCAGTGAAGAGTTTTTTTACGAGGATAGTGAGGCTCAAGTTAGAGTATGTAGGAAAGAGGGAAATTTTTTCCCAGTAAAAGTAGGACTTAGACAAGGATGTGTGATGTCACCGTGGTTGTTTAATATATTTATAGATGGGGTTGTAAGAGAAGTAAATGCGAGGGTCTTGGCAAGAGGCGTGGAGTTAAAAGATAAAGAATCACACACAAAGTGGGAGTTGTCACAGCTGCTCTTTGCTGATGACACTGTGCTCTTGGGAGATTCTGAAGAGAAGTTGCAGAGATTGGTGGATGAATTTGGTAGGGTGTGCAAAAGAAGAAAATTAAAGGTGAATACAGGAAAGAGTAAGGTTATGAGGATAACAAAAAGATTAGGTGATGAAAGATTGAATATCAGATTGGAGGGAGAGAGTATGGAGGAGGTGAACGTATTCAGATATTTGGGAGTGGACGTGTCAGCGGATGGGTCTATGAAAGATGAGGTGAATCATAGAATTGATGAGGGAAAAAGAGTGAGTGGTGCACTTAGGAGTCTGTGGAGACAAAGAACTTTGTCCTTGGAGGCAAAGAGGGGAATGTATGAGAGTATAGTTTTACCAACGCTCTTATATGGGTGTGAAGCGTGGGTGATGAATGTTGCAGCGAGGAGAAGGCTGGAGGCAGTGGAGATGTCATGTCTGAGGGCAATGTGTGGTGTGAATATAATGCAGAGAATTCGTAGTTTGGAAGTTAGGAGGAGGTGCGGGATTACCAAAACTGTTGTCCAGAGGGCTGAGGAAGGGTTGTTGAGGTGGTTCGGACATGTAGAGAGAATGGAGCGAAACAGAATGACTTCAAGAGTGTATCAGTCTGTAGTGGAAGGAAGGCGGGGTAGGGGTCGGCCTAGGAAGGGTTGGAGGGAGGGGGTAAAGGAGGTTTTGTGTGCGAGGGGCTTGGACTTCCAGCAGGCATGCTTGAGCGTGTTTGATAGGAGTGAATGGAGACAAATGGTTTTTAATACTTGACGTGCTGTTGGAGTGTGAGCAAAGTAACATTTATGAAGGGATTCAGGGAAACCGGCAGGCCGGACTTGAGTCCTGGAGATGGGAAGTACAGTGCCTGCACTCTGAAGGAGGGGTGTTAATGTTGCAGTTTAAAAACTGTAGTGTAAAGCACCCTTCTGGCAAGACAGTGATGGAGTGAATGATGGTGAAAGTTTTTCTTTTTCGGGCCACCCTGCCTTGGTGGGAATCGGCCGGTGTGATAATAAAAATAAAAATAAAAAATAATAACATAATAGATAAGAGCAATGTGTGGTGTGAATATCATGCAGAGAATTCAGAGCATAGAAACTTAAAAGGCAAAGTAGGGTCACCAAGGGTATAAATCAGAGGGTAAGAGGGGTTGCTGAGGTGGCTTAGGCATGCAGAGGATACAGAGAGGGATAAGTTGATAATGAGGGTATATAAATCAGGTGGAGGGGGGGGGGGGGTAAAAAAAAGGCTTTGCATTTCAGTTGCTTGAGCATCCATCAAGCTTGTGTAAGCATTAGATAAACATGAATAGAGACAAGTGGTTTTTAATGGACATGCTTTTGGAGTGTGAGTAAGATAACTTTTATGAAGGGATTCAGGAAAATCAGTTTGCTAGACTTTAGTCGCAGTGCTGTATGGCCCTTGTGGTTTAGCGCTTCTTTTTTTATTATAATAATAATAATGGACTTGAGTCCTGGGGATGGAAAGGGCACTACCTGCACTCTGAAGGAATGGGAATGTTACATTTGGATGGTAATATTGTGATGTCACCACACTTCGGGAAAGATGGTACTCAAGTGAATGAGTTATCTTTGGGCCACCCTGCCTTCGCAGGAGACAGCCATCAAGTTAAAAAATAAATAATGTTCTGAGTAGCGATAATTGGCAGTTTACTTCATTTTGTGTGACACTGCAGTGAACAATGCTCATTGGTGACCCTCTGTAATTGTTAATCGCACAGAAATGACGAAGTTTAAGCATCTCATTCGTACAAACATTTTACACTGACTTAATGCAAATTTACAGAAATTACTGAATAACAATGTTACTCCACAAACACATTTTATTGTTGTTTTTAATGCATAAACATATCTAAATAAAGCCACTTCTTACCAGAATGTGGGGTTTTGTTTACATACTCAATTATACTTGGTGCTTCTGAACAAGAACTCTGTTCTTATGTTTGGAATTTTGCCAATTTTGTGGGGTGACCACTCATTAATACTTCTAAATATAACTATTTCTCATAATCAGCACTGTAATTTTCACTGTGAGCAGTCATCTTTACACAGAGGAAAGAAGATTACAGCTTTCATAAGATACCCTGT